CCTCACTCTTCTTGTCTGTCTCTCCTCACTCGTCTTGTCTGTCTCACCTCACTCTTCTTGTCAGTCAGCTCGACTCACTCTCCTCACTGGATAAATGAAATCTGATATGTGATGCAACTGTCGTTCGGCACGCTGCATTGAGCAGCCGCGTTCAGTTTTTAATTGTAGTGTCTGTTCTTTTACTGAACTAAATGATTTTTATTACTATAAAAAATCAAAACGACAGTGGGGGTCGGTGACGTGGTGGGCAAGTGACTTAACCGGTGTTGCGTCTTAACACCGGTATCACCGTCAGCACCGACTATCGCGGCAAGCCTACTACTTACAGCACTCTCACACACAATATAATATATTATATAATATAAAAGTGTGTGCTATGCTTAATCGGCCCTGTGTGCATTTCTTCCCCCTAATCTTATCTTCTTCACTGCGCGTTTGAATATTCACATGCACATTTGATCACACACCTCGGGGTCACAAGCATGCCTGTTTGTGCCAGTGCATATCTGTGTCACTACACATATGGTTTGTGTGTGTGTTTATGCATGTTTCCAAGGATTTCAACAGTACTCGTTTTAGGTGACTGATGATCAGCTTTTAACGTGATTTAGGGGTGAGTTGTGTGGGAAAGATCTCGTAACTATTCACAGTACCATCTAGCCCAGTGTTTTCAAACTTTGGTGCCTGGGATCCCCGAATATGATACTCCCCTTGCAGATGAGAAAAATATTGTATTTCTGCTCGATGTCAGATTGTCCCAGCTTTTTCCACACTCTTAAAAGACACATTTCTATCTGTCGAATGCTCTGTCAGAGTTTTCTCTAGTGTGTAAGCGCCATTATGCTGACTTTGCTCTGACGGTCATCCAAGTATTGGAGAAAACGTGATGTCTTTAAGAACAACTGAACCCTGATCTTTATATCACTATGACAGTTTAGTCAATGCACTGACCTCCATGATAGAAGCTCATTGCTAATTCTGTTTCTTAGTGCTAATTCAGCTTGATGTCTACCGTTTTTATTGGATATGGGTTCTTCCTCATTATCAGTATAGTTTTCATAATTATTAGTGGGGGAAAAAGTGCTGTAAAGATTAGTAGAATTAAAGAGAAGACAACTTCCTTGTTATTGATCGTTCCAGGTGCATGAATTGATTGGACTTCATGAAGTATTTACAGGTGTAAAGCACTTGTTCGACCATTGAAACGTTTCCAATCCAATAGTTCCGGTTAACTACAGCTCAGCAAGCGTGTCTGGACATTTCCAATGCCTCGGTCAGGAAAGGAAGGAGCAGCAAAACGATGAGAGCGTTTTAAAGTCTCAAAGGGAGGGGCGTAGACAGTGAGATTAAGCCTTTGCCAGACGGTGAGCTTTAATGGATAATGTGGAAGACGGTGAGTGAGAGTCAATGAGCACACAGAAAACAATATTAAAACTCTCAAGCAGTCAGAATCAATCACACACACCCTCCACATGTCAATGTGTAAATTGCGTTTGCGTCGACTCGAAGGTGACGGGCTTGTCCCTTCATTGATTCTCCATTAAGGGCAAGCAGCGCATTATAATATATTGAAGTAGGCAGCTCGATGTCAGTGCGCCATACATGCAAATCGTCCACCTCCTTTTAAATGAAGAGAGACGAATGCTTCAGAAGCTTTAGAGCTGAAGGATATAGAAAGCATTTTTAATCTTTCAATAGTGCATACATCGTTGAACTTTAACCTCGGGCAGTAATATATCTCTCTGGCCTGTCAAGCTCAGGGTGCCTTTAATTGGAATGGACAGTCTCAGTCCTTTGTGTCCTTGCAGTTGGTCTGATGGTTGATGTGTCTCTGGCCATTTTAGGGATGGCGGCAAGCGTTGGTGTCTGTTTTAAGTGTTGTCACTCTCATGCTTGAGCCCGCCTAATTCTAACAGCGACTTGAATGACTTGTTTCCTGCTTTGTTTGAGAAGAGAGCACAAATCTGTCCGTTTAGTGTGAATATTTAGTCTCTGCATGCTCTCCATTCATCAGCACTTCATTACTCTTTCCTGGGTGGAGCAGCTACGAGACACCTGTTCCTCCTGATGCTTCAGGTAATTGCCTCTCATTCCTTTCTCCATCTTGCTGCTTTTAGGTCTTTTAAACAGATGGCTCACCCCCACATCTCTCATTAAATTTGCAGAGCGCTTCTGTCAGTGATCTGATGTTTCATGCCCTCCTCTATCCCATCAGCCCGTGGGACACATCCTTACGACAATCACAGATGGACCCAGATTCTCCTTAGCATTCCATTTTCATCATTACTCATAAAAACACAGATCTCTGGGGTTCGATTTTGGTTTAACGTGGCATTCAATCTGAACTGCTTCTGTTCTTTTCCCTCTAATTGGATCTGGATATGCAGTTGTTATCATTTAAATGAACACCACAATCACTTTGGTTCACGTCTTTGTGACAATTAGCAAGATGACACTTCACCTGTTCACATGCTATTTATAGCTTTGTGATTTGTGAAAGTGTGAATCAGACAGGTTGAAGATGATTTTGATTATCATAGGGTAGATCGCACTCAATTGGCCCCTGCAGGCCAGTTTTGACCTGGCTGTTCTACAAAATCTTATTGACCTGGTCTCTTTTGTTTAGTGTTGTCAGAATTATCCCTCGTCTTTATTCAGAGTCAGAGCAACCTCCCAGTGGGCTCATGTGGGCGAGCTCTAAATTAACAGTCGGTTCATCTGGGGGCATGATCAGTAAAATAGCTTCTTGATTGACACCACTGGGAGTCAAATATTATTTCCATAAGATTAAATAAAAACAAAGAGTGAGACTTTTTTGCACACATGCACAGATTCAGTTGTTTTTATAGTAAAGTAATTTGTTTGGTCTGAAATTGAAAAATCTGTTTTTTTTGTTAATATTTCTAGGACTTGTCAGATCAGAAATAATTATATACACAAAATAATCTCATATTGATTTAAAAACTATTTATATATAATATTTTTTGTTATATTTTAATATATTGCAAAAGTAATGGGAATAAACTGAAAATTTGCTAAATTGCTGGAACTGGGGACTTAAATGTAGTTGAGAAAAAAT